AAGTGCATCCAGACTGGAAAAGACAGAATCAAACTGTCCCTGTTCGAAGATGACATGACCCTATATACAGAAAAACTGAAAGACTCTACCAAAAAACTATTAGAGCTGATAAACAATTTCAGTAATGTTTGAGGATACAAAATCACACCCCCAAATCAGTAGCATTTCATACTCCAATAACAAACTAGCAGAAAAAGACATCAATGAAGCAAGCACATTTACAATAGTCTCCCCCCAAAAATAAAATACCTCAGAATCAATTTAACAATGGAGTGAAAGATCTCTACAATGAAAACTAAAAATCACAACTGAAAGAAATTAGAGTACACAAAATGGTGGAAATTCATTCCATGCTCTTGGATTGGAAGAATTAACATTATGAAAATGTCCATATTACCCAAAGTGATCTACAGATTCAATGCAATCCCCATCAAAATACCAATGACATTCTTCACAGAAATAGAAATAACAATCCTAGCATTCATATGGAACAACAAAAGACCCCAAACAGCCAAAGCAATCCTGAGCAAAAAAATAAAACCAGAAGCATAACACTACCTGACTTCAAATTATACACAAAGCTATAGTAACCAAAGCAGCATGGTTCTTACTGGCTTAAAAACAGACACTCAGCCAATGGAACAAAATAGAGAACCCAGAAAATCAACCCACGTTCTTACAACCAACTAATCTTTGACAAAGGCAACAAGAACATACATTGGGGAAAAGACTATCTCTTTTACCTCTCACCATATACCAAAATCAACTCAAAGTGGATTGAAGATTTAAGTATAAGTCCTGAAACTGTAAAACTACTAAAAGAAAACATAGGGAAAACACTTCAGGAAATAGGCCTGGGCAAAGACTTTGTGAATAAGACCCCAAAAGCACAGTCAACAAAAGAAAAATTAAGCAAATAGAATTTTACATCAAACTAAAAAGCTTCTGCACAACAAAGGAAACAATCAACAGAGTGAAAAGACAACCTACAGAATGGGAAAAAAATTTTGCAAACTATGCATCTAACAATAGATTAACATCCAGAATATACAAATAACTCAAGCAACTTCACAGTAAAAAAGCAAATAATCCAATCAAAAATGGGCAAAGGAGCTGAATAGACATTTTTCAAAGGAAGACATACAAATGACCAACAGATACATGAAAAAATGCACAACATCACTCATCATTAGGGAAATGCAAATCAAAACCACACTGAGATATCATCTCACCCCAGTTAGACTGGCTATTATCAAAAAGACAGAGAATAACAAATGCTGACGAGGATGTGGAGAAAGGGGAATCCTCCTACACTGTTGGTGGGACTTCGATTTAGTACAGCCATTATGGAAAACAGTGTGGAGGCTTCTCAAACAATTACAGATAGAACTGCCATGTGATCTAGCAATCCCACTTCTGGGTGTATACCTAAAGAATGGAAGTCATCATGTTGAAGGGATACCTGCACTCCCATGTTCATCACAGCTCTATTTACAATAGCTAAGATATGGAACCAACCTGAATATTCAGTAATGGACAACTAGATAAGGGAAAGATGGTATATATATATATGTGTGATGGATACTGCTCAGCCATAAAAAAGAATGAATTCCTGCCATTCTCAGCAACATGAATGAGCTTTGAGAAAATTATGTTAAGTGAAATAAGCCAGGCACAGAAAGAGAAATACTGCATGTCCTCACTCATAAGTGGGAGCTAAGAAAGAAGCAAAGAAGGAAGGAAGTAAAGAAAGAAAGGACTGAAAGGAATGAAAGGAAAGAAAAATCACAAAAATACATTGAACTTTCAGAAGGAGAGAACAGACCTTTGGTTGCGAGGTGGGAAAGGAGAGGGTAAGGCTTAGGGAAAAATTGGGTAAGGGGACACAAAGAATAATCATGATTTGTAATAATGAACATGCTAATAATTTTGACTTGATCATCAAAACAAGAAACAAACAGAAAAGCATGGATGAACCTTGAAAACATTTGCTAGGTGTAATATGTTATGAGCCAGTCATGAAAGACCACATACTGTATTTTTCCATTTATATGAAATATGCAGAAAAAAGACAAATCCATAAAGAGAAAATAAACTAGGGGTTCCTAGGGGCTGAGGAAAGGGGAAAATGGAGAGTGTCTGCTAATGAGTCTGGGGTGTTTCTTTGTGGTGATGAAAATGTTCTAAAATTAGATGGTGGAGATGGTTGCAAAACTCTATGACACTTTAACACCCACTGAATTGTAGACTTTAAATGAATGAATTTTATGGTATTAAGTTATATCTCAATAAAGGTGTTAAAATGTAATTAACAATATACACTGAAAGTTCTAAAGGGAAATGCAATATGGTATTTTTCCATACCAGCACCAAGTTCTAGTCAACATCTGCTCTCACTCACTAACTATATCTCAGCATACAAGACCGAAGGGCAATTGGACTGAATAGTAAACACGAAATGAAATCCATGGAGTACCTGGATCAATAAAAACAGACCTTGAACTAACCAGACTTAATCGTGGAATGCAAATGCATAATCTTAAGGGCTCTGAAGAGAAATCTACAAGACAGAAACTCAGCCTACTATTGTCCCCATCTTCTGATTTCAATGGGAAATGTGGGGAAATTAAAATTATCTGGCCCCAAGTAACTAGAAATCACATAGTTAAATCCAACCAAGTGCATGTTTGTGTTCTGTGAGAAAATTAGAAATAATCCATCTTGATATATCATAAGTTAAAACTCATATTTAACTATGTACATTATCGATGATCTAAAACTTGATTCTGGAAATGGTTATTCTTAAGGTCTTCAAATATTCTTTTTGTGTGTGTTCAGTTTAGTCTTGAGACTATCAGCTTATCAAAACATAATATACTATTTTAAGATTTTTTTAAACAAATACATTGAATTTAAATAGATTTGTCTTGGCAATTGTTTGGCATATATTACCAAGAAAATGGCATGCATTCTGGAACTTTCTATGAATATTGCTACTAATAAAACCAACCCAACATTTATTGCTGCTTTTAGAGAGCACTGAGGGAGGTGAATACCAATGACAAAGACTTCAGAGTTTTATAAAATAGTGCAAAAGATGATTATAAATAAATAATTATAAGATGTGAAAAATGATATCATAGAGGTGAGATCAAGGAGCTCTGGCTGAACGATACCATTTCCAGTAGAAGGGCTTTTCGGACTTTTATTATACCTGTAAGATTTTATACCTCTCCAAAAATGCTGTTCAGTCAATATCTTTTAAATGGAAATTCAAAGGTAGGCTTGATGTTAACAGAAAATAAAATAATAAATCAAAATAAATGCAGATAGAAAGTAAAGGCATTATACTGTTTAAAAGACTGCCTGAAGAAATGTTTCACAATTCATATTATGGCGGATTCTTTAATAAAAAGCAACTTCCGAATTTGCCCTAGAATACAACAAAGGGCCAGCATTTTAGCAGATTTTACTAAAGGCCTGAGGCTTCTCTCTGGGGTAGATATGTTAACTTTAGAATCAACAAAGGAGGGCTCCTTCCATTTGTGAAGGTCAGAGTTTAAATTTATGCAAGAACCACATTCACTTCTCTCTCATTCAAACTATAAATTCAAAATCCAGAGATTTTCCAAAATTTGTTCATTAATTCATTTTTTTCCTGCTGCTTCCAATCTGTTCTACTGTGGACCTGGTTAAGTGGGTGTCCCTTGCTGAGGTGTCATGTCACCCTGTTACCATCTGGATTAAAAGTTCCTTGGCAAATTTCCTATCGCTGCTCATCTACAAATTGAGAACAGTATCTGGTCTTATGGTCTTACAGGGTTATTTTGAGATAAAATGAAAATGTATATATAGAATAATTTTTTTAGTAAAATGCCCTATGCAATATGCTACTTGCTACTGGACTCTTGACTGCCACAAAAACAAAAAAGGTTTTTTAGCTCTACTGTATCTGATGAAAACTCTTCATAGACAATTTTTTGCTATTCACATTAATGTGAATTTGTCATTTAAGACAAACAACTTCTTTTTCCTCTACTGCTACATTTCTAAATTTTTAGACTGTGCTTTCATTTGATCAGGCAAAAAGGATAGAATTCACTATTTAATAAAATGCTCTTTAATGACCTAAAAATTGTTGGTATAAAAACACTGATACCAATCTAGGGAGGGATAACAATATTCAATTGGGAGCATGGTTTAGAAGTTTCTGTAAGCAACAGGGTCAATTCAGAAGCTTGATTCAATTGAAACTTCTAAGGTCCCACCCCAGATGCAGGTGGGGGTGGGGGGCTGCAAATCAGCCACACAAGATCACCAGCAGATTCTTAAGTTTGAGAACTTGATTAGCTGTGGTGTATGGGCTTGGGGTAGTGGGCAGGAGAGGTACAGGGAGGCTGGTAGGGGTTGGTGGTTTTCAGCAGATTCAGAGGCCTGGGGAGCTATGCAAGGAGCCTTGTCCCGTTGGGTGCTTCTTGTCTTCCAGCCCCAACTGAGCACAGAGGCTCTGCTCTGTCTGTTCTCTGCATTGGGATTCCCTCAGATTCTCATCAAAGGGTTCTACTGCTAAAAACAAGTCTGAAAAGCAATAAGCAATGATGTAGGGCATCAAAAATAGGCTAATAGGCACAGAAGACCTGGGTGCTGGCCCTTCTTCTGGCACTTCCCATCTGGTGGACTCTGTGCTAGTGGATAAGTTTCAATACCTTCATTTGCAAAATGTCACAATCCCATGTCTCCTTGTGGGATGGTTGTGGAGGGTCAAATCAGATAAAGTCTCTGAAACTAGAAATGATCATTCAGATTTATTATTGTAATTACTGGGGACAGTATATGACTGAGCATAAAAGTGGACACATTTTAATTCAAGGGATGGGGAAGAACCAATTTGTCTAATTCATTTTTTCCCAATATAAGAGCACACTTAAACATCCCAACTTAATAAAGAGCCTCTGGAGAAGGAAGGAGAGGAAGGGGAAGAGACCGGGCAGACAACTCACCGACACAAATGCTTGCGATTTGGTTTCGTTCAACTGAAGTTGCAATCTCTTTTCATTGTCATAGACTCCGTAGAGTCTCTTGGACCAGGTCTGAGGTACTCTGCTCTTGAATTTTAATGAACTATACAAAGCAAATATCCTTTGTAAATCTAGGACGAGGCAGCTGCAGTTGTAGAAGATGACACCAAGTTCTTTCATCTGTGAAATTAAAATTGAAAGCATCAGTGCCATGTGCATATGACGGTGTTATTTTCAGAGAAAAAAGAATGCGTAAGAATGCAGTAATAGTGACATCTTTTTTCTTGCATTCGTTGTTACATAGAAGTATGTAGATATAGGCACAGTATGGTGTATAGAAGCGATATGTTATAAAAATGCTTGAATATTTATGGACTTTTGCTTGCCTTTTGTATTTGGGCTCTCAGATAATTTTCCCATATTCATCTACATTTTTCATATCAGCTCTTCAGATTTATTACTTTAACACTAATTTTTCTGTATGGATCCTTAAATCATGTAGCATAATAGAATAGTTATGATCATGGATTCTGGAGTCGGACTGCCTGGATTTGGGTTCTAGCTCCTCAACTTTCTAGCTGTATGACTTAGGACAACATATTCAATCTTTGAGCCTCAGTGTCTATTTCCATAAAATGGAGATGATAGTATTTATTTCATATAGTTGCTATGAGACTTAAAATGGTTAATACACATGAGCTCAAACAGAACCTATCACATGGTAATCACTAAAAACTTGTTAGCAGTTGCTATTAACATTGCACATGCCTCATTGCACAAAGCCATTGGAATCTTGCAATAAAGAAACTGTAGAGATTATTTTGTCCACCTCTCTCAATGCACGAATGAGGAAAGGAAAACTCACACAGGCAATTAAAAATACTTTCTCCAAATTAGAGATTTAGTCAGTGGTAAATTCAGAATGTGAATGCGGGTTTTCTAAGCCCTGATCCAATGCACCCAGAACACAGCTGGACTGGCTTCACTTGAGTCCAGTATCCCTTTTTAAAAATTACAGATGATTTTTAATTTAGTCAGTGAAACTATGCCAAATGAAGTTTTGGTGATAAAAGAAGAGCACAGAAATACACATGCTTTATATGACCTGAACACCCAGTGAGGGGTTTGTTACAGAGACCTTGGCTCTCTAGGGACCTGAAGTCCACGGATATTGAGCTCCCTGTCCCCTCCTTCATCTCCTCTTCATGTCTCTTCACTCAGGGCTATAGAAGACGTCACCCACTATGTAGGGACCTATCTCTCCTCACACCTAGGACTCCTCAATACAATGTGCCATGGAAATCTTCCCACGTTCATCTACACAGGTCTGTCCTTTTACCAGCTCCACAGGAACCACAGAGCAGATGGACATCAGTTATTTAACCCACTGACAGACTTGTTCTATTTTTTCTCTAATGCAAAATCAAGCAATGAGCATCCTTGTACACGTACCTTGTTGCACACCTGTGCAAGTATTTCTTTAGCATAGATCCCTAGAATTAGATGGACAGACACATAAAGAAATTTAAAGGGGATACAGTGGGGAGACCTGATCAGGTATGTGCAAAGGCACTGAGGCTGGGGGAATATAATGAGAGCTGTGTGGCTGAAGCTGAGCTAGAAGGGGAAGAGAGAGAGAGAGAGAGAGAGAGAGAGAGAGAGAGAGAGAGAGAGAGAGTGTGTGTGTGTAAATACTTTTTTCTGATAGCAGGTGTAAAACTGTAGGGACAGGGATGTCAGATCCCAAGGGACCTTTGGGATAAGCAGTTTGACACTTACACTGAAGGTCATGGGGAGGCAGGCAGTGAGGAGAGGGGCATGACCAGACTGTGAACTGGAAAGGCGCCTTTGGCGTGCTGTAGAAAAGGGGAGGATGGGATGTGGGCAGCTGGGGGCAGGGCATCCGGGGCATCCCTGGCCTCATCAGTGGCAAAGGGAGAGACTTACACATTCTTATGTGTTTTCTAATCTCAGAGATTTACAGAAACTGCCCAGAATAGCCACTAATGCTGGCTATTCTCATTCCAGGTTGGAGACAGGGCCTGGCCTGCTGTCAGCAGAGTCCCTGCTGACAGGTCTCGGGTGTATTAAACCCCACCTCTGGGCTTCACGCTTCTAAGCTTTTCCCCAGATCGAATCAGTGCTGCCTCATTGTCTTCTCCATGGAAGCCTCGGGTGAGCTTTCATGAGTAGGCTCTCTGTCTGCAGTGGGAGTTGGGGGTGGAGGTGCTGTGACCTGGTTCTTTATGTGGGTAACTGTCCCATAGGGCAAGGGCCTCCCAGACAAGTGTCCTTGTCTGCCGGACACAGGCCTGGCTAGTGCACAGTCCAGGGGATGATGATCTTCTGGCTTTGCCTGGAGCCATCGTCAGGAAAAAATAAACAAACAAACAAGCAAATAAACAAAAATTCTGGACCCTGAGGCCAAGGAATGGGTTCAAGCCTAGGATCTTTTACCGACTAGATATAGGTAGGGCCTTGGTAAGACTCAATCTTTCTGAGTCTTTGAACAAGGAGGGGATTTGGCTCATAAAGTCTACAGGGGTCTTCCAGCCTGGCCATCTATGAACATGAGCTGGGACCTGGCTTCGGGACACAATTTCCTGCCCCCTTTGCAACCCCTCTCCCTGCCCGACCTGCTTCCCAACACTGTCCAGAGAACTTCTGTTTGTCTGTCAGGACCAGGTCATTTTGTCTCCTGAATGATTGTGGCTGGTGACCCTCCCTGGTTTTAAAGTCAGACCAGGGAAGTTTGTGTTTTGGCTCTGCTTCTTGCTTATTGAAAAGCCCTGGGAAAATTCCTTAACTCTTTAATTTCAGTTAATTGCTTAATGAGGATAATATCTATCTCCAAGGTTTGTTGTTAGAATATTTACTACTAATCATAATTTTAATAGTATTGAGTGAGAACTTACTTGGTGTGTATATTGGATTGAATAGTGTCCTTCAAAAGTTCATGTCTACCTGGAACCTGTGAACGTGACCTTGCTTGGAAATAGGGTCTTTGCAGATGTAATCCAGTTAAGATAGCATTAGGGTGGGCCCTGAATCTAATATGACTAGTGTATTTATAAATAAGAGGAAATTTGGACACAAGACACAGATACACCGAGATGGCCATATGAAGCCAAAGATTGGAGTTATGTATCTATAAGCCAACGAGTGCCAATGATTGCTGGAAACCACCAGAAACTAGGAAGAGGAAAGCTTCTCCCCTAGAGCCTTGAGAGAAAGCACGGCTCTGCCAACACCTTGATTTCAGACTCCCAGCCCCCAGGACTGTGAGACTAAGTTTCTGCTCTTTGAAGCTGTCAAGTTTTGTGGTAATTTGTTATGGCAGCCCTCGGAAACTGATACAGTGTGCCTCACCTACTTTAATCTTGACAGCCTGTCAGGTAGATACAATTCACATCCCATTTTACACAGGAGGAAACTGAGGATAGTCACTTAGAAAGTCATTTTAGAAAGTCATTTGCCCAATGCCAAATGACACAGATTTGAACTTTGGTCTAACTCTGATGCTTGTTTACTTAACCACTGTGCTATACAGTAGTCCCCCCTTATCTGCAGGGGATATGTTCTAAGACCCCCAATGGACACCTGAAACTGTGGATAGTACAGAATTCTATATATGCTATGTTTTTTCTTATACATGCAAACCTATGATAAAGTTTCATTTATAAATTAGGCACAGTAAGAGGTTAACAACAATAACTAATAATAAAATAGAACAATTATAACAATGTACTGTAATAAAAGTTATGTGACTGTGGTCTGTCTGTCTCTCGCCATAGATAAATATCTTATATTCAAAATGTAGTTGACTGCTAGTAACTGAAACCACAGAAAGCGAAACCGTGGATACGGGGGGAGCAGTGCACTGCGTTTAGTGCATGGCTAGTGCACAATCCACGAGGTCTATTGTTGTTAATTCTGTGAAGCTTTTCCTGGCTAATTTGTTTCCTTCTTTGTCTACCACTGTACTTGGTACCTATCTCTGATGCGGCACGTTTTACATGTTGTGATCATTATTATTATTTTTTAAATTTATGTGTCTGTTTTGCCTATGTGACTCTACAGTCTCTGAAGACAAGGCTTGTGTCAGATACATATTTTTATTTCCAGTGCTGGGCACACGTTGCTCAAAACTGTCTACTGAATAAATGTCTGGCCTTTGAAATGAGTAAGTGGTGGTGAGAGATGAAAACAAGCTCGCTTCTCAAGCCAGGCGCCCTGGCACCAGGCTAGCCTGCTGCCCCCTGATCCTGAGCACCTGAATCTAACAAGAGTCTCTGTTCTGCTGCAAGGGCCCTGGAGCAGCCAAGCTGGAGACAGCCACAAGAAACCCATCTTGCCATGCCGGCCTCAGAGATCCATCTGGAAGACTTTCACAAGCATGGCACTCAATGATCTGTATCCATGACTGGCCTTAGATTGGTCAGTGGCCCAACTGTTCTCCAAACATGCTTCCTGCCTCTACCAATAATGGAGTGCAGCCAACACAGGGTTGTCTTTTGAAAGCAGGAATGCCTTAAAAAGTCAACGCTACCCAAGCCTGAGTAGAGCCAGAAATAGAACAGATTGGAAGTAGAAATCCAGAGAATCATTTGACTTTTGTGACCAAAAGGCAGACTTGGTGGTCATGATTCACCTTTACCATGTTTGAATTTCTTTGGCGTCATTTGGTTTTTCTACATCAGACCTTTGGTGTTTCCAGGTTATTTGCTCACACACAGCAAACACATGTGTTTGGAAACGTCTGTTCAAAGCCTGGATAAGAACATGACACTTCCCTATCCACCTCCTTCCTCAGGAGTACCTGCCCCTTAATCTTCACGTGGAAGTTATGTTCTCCCTGCAGTGGCCGTGGGACAGGTCAGCTGCCCCCGCTGCCTCTCTCCTGATATACAGAGTGATTTTAACTGTAGCAGTCAGCACTACTGCAAGCACACCACATCTGAAGGCAGCTGCTCATCCACAGATGTGACAAGATCATTCTGGATAAGTATTATTTTGAAAATTGACATCCACAAGAGTGCCAGGGGCAGCTCTGGCAGCTCTTCCCTTCTCAGGAAGCACAGGAAAGAGAGAGAGAGACTAATATGACTCAATGAAGACACAGCAAGTCATCTCTGAACAGGCTCTGAAGACAAACTCCACCATGCGCGGGGCGCTTAACC